CCCAGCCGGGAATCGAACCCGGGTCTCCCAGATACGCGCCGGGCACTCTTACCGACTAAGCTACCGGGAACCACAGAAATTCACTCTCAAATTCACCTCAAACACCGCCTAACCTCCTTTAGGCATTAAAGAATTCTAAGAGAATTAGAATTTAGAGAGGAAAAATTTCCGCTTCACCCAGCCGGGAATCGAACCCGGGTCTCCCAGATACGCGCCGGGCACTCTTACCGACTAAGCTACCGGGAGCCACAGAAATTCACTCTCAAATTCACCTCAAACACCGCCTAATCTCTTTTAGGCATTAAAGAATTCTAAGAAAATTAGAATTTGGAGAGAAAAAATTTTCGCTTCACCCAGACGGGAATCGAACCTGGATCTCCCAGATACGCGCCGGGCGCTCTTACCGACTAAGCTACCGGGAACCACAGAAATTCGCTCTCAAATTCACCTCAAATACCGCCTAACCTCCGTTAGGCATTAAAGAATTCTAAGAGAATTAGAATTTAGAGACAAAAAATTTCCACTTCACCCAGCCGGGAATCGAACCCGGGTCTCCCAGATACGCGCCGGGATTGAATTCTCTGTTATCGAAATAAAATAATACTTATTTTTATTGTGGATCCTTACCTTTTCAAACACTAGGTGCATCTGTGGCTATCGTTCACCTTCTTAATGTTTAATAAAAACGTAGATAATAATAATGAAGTCAAGGTGTGAAATGAAATGAAAAGATAAAAATTTAATAGTACCGTTTTTTCAGTTTATCGTTTAGAAAAGATTTGGACATATACAAAGAAAAGAAACCGAAGGAGAGAGAGAACTCGATCGACGCAAAAGCAAGTAAAAAAAGAATCAATATTGATTTCAAGATTTTTATTTTGAATTGATATTGTAACCGCGGATTTTATTAAATATTATTGAAATATTATTAAAATGATAATTACCTGGGGTTGAAGATAGTTAAATTTAGGGGATTAACTTAATTAATATTAGGACCTGAAATGGAGGATTAGGGTACTTGAATCAATAGGGACACGAATTGTAATTGAAACGCTATTGAGTATATATTCTAATCATTTTATTATACGAAATATCAACATGAACTGTTAAATGCCTTTTATCTATTATCTAGAGAAAGTGGGTAAGGCCAGGCTACTTGTCGCACACGTGAAGAATAAGGGCTGATTCGATAATATGTACACGGGGGAGAAGCTAGTTGTGTCTAGGGGGAAAATACCGATTGACTCGATACACTTGTGACGGTTTGACGTGACAGGGGAGAAAAATAGTCAAACTCAGCCGCAATAAATATTAGATAAACGTCTCGAGGGGAGCTCACACTTCCCTATTCCCCCAATGCAAGCAAAGCTGGACGACCATCGGGCTCACATAAGAGCCAATGGCTTTAAAATTAATTCTATTTGAATTCTGCTGGACGAGATGGACCTGGCTAAAAAGAGGAGGACCCTGAGAAACATCTCTTGGGGTCACAAGGAGTAGAAGATCCCCTGGAAAGACGAATCCAACCAGGACAACCAGGGAGGCTAGCGAAGATCTCCAACAATTGAATTAAAAATAATGAAAATTATAGTTGAATTGGTGTTAGGGTCACGTGATCGAGGTAAACACGTGGGTCACAGGCTGAGGGTCAGCAGTCCTTAGCTCGCTCCAGTGTGAACACCAAAGTAGGAGGAATCCCGCCACTTCCAGAGGATTTTTGAGGAACCGAGGACCCCGATAAGGAATTGAGAGTACCTCAGTTCGCCCCGAGACGAAAGTGTGGTCAAAACTCAAGAGGGAGTGTTAATACATTGTGGGAGCTTTTTCTGGAGCGTGTGGAGGAGCGAGGAAGGATTTTTTTTTAATCGTTATTTTACATCGCTTCGACCCGGTTAGGGTATACTGCGATAATGATCAAGACTTTAAATGGTTAGATCGCACCATTCTACCCGGCCGGGATTTGAACTCGGAACCTTTCGCATGTGAGGCAACGAACTTACCCACTGCGCCAAGCCACCGGGATAACGAAGAAGGATTGCTGGAGCCGGAGAGAGATTGTGGGAGCTGGAGGAGCTTGCCTCAGCTACCAACCGGAGGCCTGTTGGACGAGCCAAGGACGCCCTGGGTCGGATTTCAGAGCAGAAGGCCGATAAGTACCCCTTTTTGCTTGTGACTGCGCGGTTTCCTCGATCACGGACCGATTTGGAGGGTTTATTCCCCGGTATTGTTAATATTGAAGTTCATTTTGAGTTATTCATTTTCCATTCAATTGATCTTGGGCGACCCAACCGCCGTGAATTGTCGTGGGGATTATTATTTCAGTTTTCTTTAGTTTTGATTCATTTCTAGATTTATTTAGTGGACTGACGCAATTTATTGTATTTGATTTCTTTATTTTATGAATACAATTTGTTTCTTTGGAGTATTACAATCGGAGTTGAGTGTGATTTATTGGGGAGAATCAGGAATTCGAAGAGGGCGTATCGATCTCCCTCCCCCTTGCAAATAAGATAGCCGGGTAATTGCAGGTGTTGGGGGGAGGGGGGATTTGGGCCGTTTTTGTGTGATTTTGCTCGTTTTTCACATGGAAATCGAAAACGAGCTGGCGCTAGGGCATTTGGGCTTTAATTTGGTTAGTTAGAAAATTTGAGTTTTTTGAGTTAGTGGTGGGCAAGATTAGGGCTCGTCACACACTATTCTCTGAGATCAATTATTAATTAATGGGGGCAAAAATATGTAGACTCACCATTGGGGGGAAATACCTAATGGAAAAGGAAATAATAGGAAAATGAGCCAGTACCACGACCACGTGGGTGCGACTCGGGAAGCTCGGGGCGACAATGCAAAATTCTCAATAATTCCAGGGGTTTTCTCCTGGACATGAGTCTCCTTTCCACCTCGGAGACTTCTGAGTGCAACTTTGATGAGCCGGGAAAAAGCTCTATTATTTCACACAATTTTCCTCTTTTATTAAACTATTCTCAAACACAAAATTACTGGGCTTCTTGGGTAATAGTTCTCGGGGCACGTGGTAACACTCGGGCAGCTGGAGGGCGAGTGAGTCTTCTTTCTGCTGTTCTCTTTCTTTGCGCTTTCTTCGCACTTCTGTGTATTCCGTCGTTTTCTTCCTTTGGATCATCCCGCGATTTCCCATCATCGATCGTAGATCTCTGTGGGGGGGTCCGGGGTATGTTACAGCAGCGTATTCTAATGGGCCGTTGGTGGTGAGTACTGTCAAGGGGCATTTATGGGTAATTTTCCAGGGGGTACTGGTCCTTGTGGAGCGACTTCGTGGGCCAGTGGTGTTGACTTCCTTCGGGTGGTTTCGTCCTTGTATCCAGGGGGAAGGGTAAAAAAGGGGATGAGGGGAAATGCTCTGGGAAATGAAGTGACCAAAGATGGCGGGAATCTATTCTTTAGGGGGCTAGTGTAAGGTTACCAAAAATGCCTCGTCACCATATATTTGATAACAGTAAAGGCCAAAATTAATGGATAATTTCAGGAATTTGGTACGAACCAATAGTGGGATTAATTCAAAGGTAGTTTTCGAGGAATTACCGAATTTTTGAAGATCTATTTCTAATTTCCACATTTGTTTCACTCAAGTTTCTTTCAGAGTTGGGTTCACCGTTTTTTTACACTTTATGATAATGATTTATTTTAAAGATTTTACAGTTTTAAAATTATGGGTTTATAAATAACTATTGGGATGTTTCTTTGCACAGAATATCGCACTATAATGTAACAAACAATTGACAATTTATTGAACGGTAAGCCACGCAATTCAGTTCAAACGCATGTGAATTTTGGTAGCGAAAATATTTTTTGTTTCAATTTACTTGGGTCTATTGATCATTTATACGTCGGGCAAGATATTCTAACCGATTGCGAAGTTACGAACGCATGTGGACCCAAGGAATTTAGTCTAATTAACGTGCCGTTTTGGCATTTAAGCCGAGACCAAAGAAATATTTAATTATTATTATTATTATTTATTACTGCTTATAGGATACAAAGCCCCATTGCATCGGGGGAGAAATATGATACATATTTTTACAGAGAGTGTGTAAGAAATGTGTATAAGCACCTCAGGAAGTACATTAAAAGTAATTGACAATATTTGATGTCGATCAAATAGGAGAAGAATAGTCAGCGACAGCAAGCTGATTGGAACGAACATCTCTTAACATCAATTTGATCAGGCGCAGAAGCTGATACATTTTTGAGAGGAATGTAGAGAAACATTTTGCAGATCAATTTTAAGTCTGATAGAAGAACAGCTCAGAATAAACCTATAAATACCTTTATGTTCACTAAAATTTGCTTTAAAAAGAACAATGTTTAATGAATGATTCAAAAGATGTAGAAGCTCGAGGCTCGACTCTGCCTGGACAATGGAGGCAAAAATGTTCGATCGTATCAGGATAATCGTGATTAGAATAGCTACAGACATTATTCGGTTTACAGGTCACTTTTGCATTGGCAAGATAAAAGTAACAATTGTGAATGCTCGCTAATCTCACCTGGGCCAGTAGTTGTTTCGTATGTAAACTGTGGTTCTTTTGTAAATAGATTGATCTCCAAGAGTTCATAAGAGAAAAATCAGGTGTGAGTTGACAGGAACTAGACAACCTCCATCTATCACGGTCTTCCCCTCTTAGAATCAGCTCGTAGGCAATGAAAATTTCATTAGTTTTTGCAGACAGTGACGAATGATTGAAATTGTTCATTAAGTCAAGATGATTAGTCAATTGGAGGAGATTTCTAATTTGGCAGATCCAATTAGATGAGGCATCCCAGGAGGGATTATGACTTAGCTGAAGGAGACGCAGAATACAGACTTTAGGTAGATAAGAGTCATCACTCCTCAAAATTTTCAGCAACCAGTCCCAGGACATTTTCATTACTCTGTACTTAACTGTAGGAAGATTAGTCTCAAGTCTCAGAGCCCACCCAGGCGTACACCTACGGAGGTTGAGTTCTCTTTTGTACAAATTCACCTGAGCCTTCTCCAGATCTCCACTATGAAGGAGACCCCAGGCAGGAATTGCATAAAAGAGCGTAGAAGAAACCAACGCATTATAAAGCGTCACGTAAGTTGACCAAGAGCTAACACCAAGGCTATAAAGACCTTTCAACGAAACACTAGTAGCAATTTTAGCTTTTGAAATGGCGTGACGGGCAGCTTCATTGCCAAGAGCGTTACGATTCACGGGAATTCCCAGATACATGTAGATCTTAGCCTCCTCAAGTTCAGAATCTTTATACAGTCTGAGTCTAGAGTCTAGTTTCCTTGTTCTCCCAGACTTTTTAAACACCATGATTTTCGTCTTAGAAACATTCACAGAGAGGCCATTTAGATCGCAATATTCAGCAAGAATCTTGAGAACTCTTTCCAACTTAATGTGGGAGTCAACAAGAATGACCGTGTCATCTGCATAATGTAACATCAGGATATCAGTAATTCCATCGATATTTAATCCATACAAATTTCTGTCTCCGAGAAACTTTTCAAAATCTGAGATGTAGAGGATAAATAGGAGGGCACTCAGAGTTTCGCCCTGAAGAACCCCTTCTGTAACAAGAAATTTATCAGAGACTTCGGAATTGCTTCTAACTTGGATCCTGGTCCGGTCATATAGAGATTTGATAACTCTAATTATCTTAGAGCTAATTTTTAGCTCATTCAGCTTAGCCCAGAGCCGGTCATGGGGCACGGAGTCAAATGCTCTTTTAAAATCAACAAAAATCGCGTAGACCTCTCTTTTTGGGAGCCCCAGCTGAAGCAGAGATCAACGTGAAAATTGCCTCCGTGCATCCTCGACCAGCTCTGAAACCAAACTGAGATTGAGGTAGTATATTATTGTTTTCAGACCACTTCTCGAGTCGTTCTTTTAATATGTACGTGAAGATTTTAGTGACGTGATTAACTAAGGCAATTCTTCTATAATTATTTGGATCAGTATGGTCACCCTTTTTGAAAATCATAGAAAGCAAAACATCACCACAAGACTCAGGAGAAGACTCACTTCTTATTACAGTGTTGAATAAATTCAGCATTATTAGTTTACCAGCGAAGGGTAGAGCCTTATAGAATTCATTCGTGATAAGATCAGGTCCAGAGGCCTTGTTGCACTTGAGTTTCTTTAATATTAAATCCAACTCTTCCAGTGAAATAGATTTCTCTAACTCTGCTACATGATTTAACGTTGGAATGAAAGTGGGAAAAACATGTTGTGTGAAAATTTGCTTATAGAAGTTGTTCCAAGACGCTATACTAACATCACAAGAGTGAAATTGCGGTGGATTAAGCCTTTTAAAAGTTTTCCAGAAGTATCCCTGGTCAACAGATCTATTTAAGGCGGAGGTTAAACTATTTCTAAATTCTTTCTTTGTATATTTGACTAGAGATTTGAATTCTTTACGTGGTTGGTAAAAAGCATTTTGTAGAATTTTACAATATCTGTTTATCTTGAGTTTAGAACCAAGTCTAGTGACTTGCAACTTTTTAGCTCGGATCGCAAGATCTTTAGCCCACAGAGGGAAACGGATGGAAGGACATGGTCTGGTTGATGTCCTGAGAGGCTGCAAAAGGCTAGATCGAGAGGCAGCATCGAGAATTACTTTATGCAGAAAATCATTTAGAACCTCAGGTGAATCAGACAGCTGTATAGGAAGGTTGTTTGCTAAATACTGGAAGGACCGGGTATTTAGCTATGTTGTATTAATTCAACATAGCTATATGGATGTCAGGGTTCCATTTAGGTTTCATGATGACATTAGTAGCGGTGGAGGGGTTACAGTGGGAATCTACAGAAGATTCATGCTGTTGGTCAGGAACGGGGGCAGAGTTGTGGATGGAAAGTGTAACAGAAAAGTGATCAGACAAGGGAATTGGAAGATTCACCTGCAGATCAGAAACTAAATGAATGTGAGACGCCTTGACAAAAACCAGATCAATCACAGTGGTCCCCGTATGACCCAAGAACGTCCAGTTGGTGGGCCTGTCACCACTCACCCTACCGTTTATCAGAATATGACCATTCTTTGTCATAAAGTCCGTGAGAAGGGCTACACGCGGGCAAACGCTACAATCAGAGTTTAGGACATCATGATAACAGATTAAACCAGCAAAAAGATCAGGCGGGAAGGTGTCAGAACCGCCAACTCGAGCATTCAAATCACCACCAATAATGACCAAATAATCTCCAAATGCCTCCTCGATTTTGTCCAGAAGTTTTTGCAACCTTTCTAAAAAAATAACAAAATTACTTGAGCGCTGGGAGTACAAATTACCAATGATAATAGTAGATTTATTATTTTCAATTCTACAAAAGATCCAATGATCGCAGATACTTATCAGAGATGAAGAAGGTTTCGAAACTATACTGGCGACAATATGAGAGTGATCTTTCCATCTAACCCCTACTTCCCCCACCACCGACGCGCGCATGCGCGGTGGGACGGTGGTGTATCCCTCCGCGTACGGCGTGTTCAAAATACATGAAAAATAATTTCCTGTTTTGTTTTTTTCGTTTTTGATGAAAAAACAATGAATTGATAACAAAATTATGAGGAAATACGTGAAAATTAATACTTAATAAATTAATAATAGTAATTGACTTGTCTAATTCTCCAACAGTTGACCAAAAGTTTCAAAAATAGTGAAACTAATAATAGTAATAGTGAATAGTGAATAGTGAATAGCTTTTTCAACCATTTGTTTAATATGTGTATTGTTTTTACTCTTCCAAATGCTCAGGTGTAGATTCTCCGTTGTCTGTCACCCAGATGGTTCTGAAATTCTGAAAAATTTCATTGAAAGCATAATTCCTAAAAACTTCCTTTCTGAATTGTTTCTTTTTCTGAAGTTGTTGCTGTTGGATGCCAAGGTTATTCTAAACCCAACAGTCGATTTGACGAGATGAAACTCGCACGGAGGACTTTTATTTATACATTTCAGCTTGGAAATCTGGCGATATTTATTCGACAATTTTTTTATAAAATTCAGAAGTATATTATAATTACCTCACTCGGGATACGGCAATCAAAGGTCCATTATTGATTTTCTCCTTTACGAAGTATCCATGAAGGTAGTAAATCATCGCCTGAGTTTGGCCATGAAAAGAACACCCTCTCTTATCCACTGTGTCACCAGTCCAGGCCCGGCGCGTCTTCTTCGGAGTCCTCTCTGCTTTTCTCTTCCCCATTGTGCCCTTAATAAGTCATATTTTACACATAGGAGTCCCTCGGATTTTCAACCCAAAAAAAGTCACTCAAATTTCCTCAATTTCAAATTTTCCGTCTTTTAAATTTTCTCCATTCGAAATTTTTGCAAACTTGCAAAATTTCAAATTCCCCTCTTTGAAATTTTCTTCATTTCTAATTCTAGTACTTTCAATTTTTCTGAATTTCGAATTCTCTCAATCTCAAATTTTCTTAATTTCAAATACCCCTTTTTCGAATTTCCAAAATTTCCAATTTCCCCGATTTCAAATTTGGATTTCCAATTTCAAGTGCAATTTCCAGTCGCAATTTCCACAATCACAAATTTATACAGTTCCCAATCGCAGTTTTCGCAATTCCACATTTTTTCAATTTCCAAGTTTCCCCCTTCCAAATTTTCCTCCTTCTCAAATGTTCCCCATTTTTAATTTTCCCCATTTCAAATTTCCCCCATTTCAAATCTCTCAAATTTTCCTACTTCAGAAAACGTTAGTTTTCGAAAAAGACTTTTTGTCAGTACTTGTAGCGAAATCGCCTCTGAAATTAGATTTCGGAAAAGAAAATATAAACATAAAAACGTTATTTCTCGACGTTTCATCATATTCTACATCATTTGCAGTTAAAACTCAAAAATCGAAAAATTGAATCAGGGATCCATTTTGGGCCATTTAGCCCCACCCTTCCCTATTTTTTCAATTGTATTTTCCGATAATAATGATTTTTTTTTGAGTTTGCAAAAAATTTAAGCAAACACCGGCCGGTAAACACAAACCTAACCTAGAAATCCCGATAATTCCATAAAACATGTAGTAATATATCAGCTCTACTTACCACTTCTTCTAAATGTTCACAATGAAAAAGAGAAAATTATCGATGTCACTGGATCCCTGAAACACTTTTGCTAAGCCACAAAATTAATTTAAACAAATAATGACACAAGTCTTCACTGGAACACTTTTTAAACACGATATTTTTTTATGAAGAGCTGTAAAATAAAATGATTAAATGATGAATTAATGTGAAGAATGAATGAGCTAAAGGAATGAATGGATGAATAGATTAATGAGTGTAGATTTAATGATGAAAAAGGTTTTTTTTTAAGTCGATTTTTTCGCTGTGTTGCACGAAATTTTCGTCTTCAAAACCCAAGAAAATAGCACCGGCGGATTGAGGGTGTGCTCCCGCAGCATTGCGCATGCGCGCGTCGGTGGTGGGGGAAGTAGGGGTTAGATGGAAAGATCACTCTCATATTGTCGCCAGTATAGCCCAAGACCACCACTTGGGCGACCTACAGTCTGACCCCCGGACGCATTTCTCCAGTGACAGATGTGATCTCGAAGAGCAGCAGGAGTGACAGGTGGTGTAGCGAGAAGCCAGGTCTCGGAAACACAGTAGACAAAAGCATCAGTGGACGTAATCCCGCTCGTTGGGAAGTTGCCAAATCCATAGACGTTCCAGAAAATAATATGAAGCTTGCTGTCGGTTATGCGTTTTTTTATTGAGACTGGATGGGGTTGCTGAAGGAGAAAGACTGGGACTGCTGACCGGTCTTGGATCCAATGTTGGGAGATTTGTTCCTGCCTCCTGTTTTAGGTCTTGACGTATTGCGGGAGGTCGCAGGACCATGAGCCACCATATCTTGAGCTGCGTGAGACCAACGGTATTCCACATCATCAACAATCAGCCTGTTTGTGGAAAACCACATATTTCTGGACTCCAGCTTAGCCTGTTTAGCTATTTCTCTAATTCTTTTTGCAGTTTTACGTTCCATTGTCGTGAGGTCTACTTCAATATAGATATTACGATGGCCAGGCTTGCTCACAAGATTCTTCTTCTCACTCAAAATTTTAGTTTTACCAGCGGGTGTGTTTAATTGAACAATCACAATATTTGGCATCTTCCCCTGGAGAGGAATAAAACGAACCCGAGCCACTTCATTTGGAAGATCGAAAGCACCCAGTAACAGACTTTTTACATCACGCTCAGCTGTTTCAGCAGAAGTTGTTAGGGCACGGATTACAATATACATTCGCTTACTCTCTTTCTCTAAGACGTCAATCTTCCTCTGGAGACTAGAGATGACAGAGTTAAACGAATTGGGATCGCACAGGCCGGCTTGATCCGACTCCAGGCGAGAGAACTTGTCGTCAAGATAAGATTCTAAGGCACAGTGCTGTGTTTGGAGTTGCTCATAGTTGGTGTTCAGTTTGGACTCGAGATTTTGACATGTATCTTTAATTTCATTTTTATATGTTGCCAGGTCATTCTTCAAGTCGTTCGTGACATTGATAGAACCATGGAGTAATTTCATCATTTGATTAAACTGCTCTTTGAAATTGTTTTCAATTCTGGTCAGCCTAGAGTTCAGACTGTCAGGTTGGCTCCTGTTGGCTCTGCTGGGCTGTTTGACTCATGTACAATGAGGTTATGTCTGCAGAGTTAGTGGAGTGGAAAGAAAAAGCATCAGAATTTTGACTGAAAGACTGCGTTGGGCTAGCGTCAATATCAGGGCTTGTGTTAAAATTTTCTGCCGATGTGTTTTTAAATCGTCTAAAAAAGAATTCTGCAAATCTTGATTGTTTACTTGCGAGCTGTGTTTTGCTGAAGGGGGGAGATTTTCGCTTGCGTTTCACCGATGGCTTCGGGCTCGAAGCTGCAGATGGCGGGATAACTAGTGCGGAGATATCAGAGAAAGTGAAGGATGGAATCACTTTTACCACTTTTGCTATAGTAGTGCCTGATTTATCGACTGCAGGTTCCGATGACGGCGTGGTTGGATTCATCAGCGAGACCGAAAAATGGACTTCCAAATATAAACCCTCCAACTTTGCAGGACTTTGAATACTGTCAGCGGAGAGCAACTGGCACACTTATGAATCAATTTATATTCCAGTAGAAAGATGACACTTTAGACAGCAGATCAAAATAACTTTGAGATATCAAATATGTGGGTCGATTGAGTAAATTGACAATCGGCCAAGGAGCAGAATATACACATGTGAACGTAAACAGCGATCGGAGCGTCCCCTCAAAGAAATATTTTAAAAAAATGCATTTAAAATTCTAAAAGACAATGCGGTTTTTGTTGCGCTAGCATTTTTGGGATTTGAAGGCCACGCGCGACGCATTATCCCGATAAATCGAGCCTCTTCGATAGCAGTTCAATATCCAGTGGGCAACGAATAAGTCGGAGTTATTGAAAGAATAAATTTCTAAATAAAATCAATTTTTGAAATAATTCCATACCTGACAAATGAAATCATCAAATTGCAATTAATCACTCCGAAGAAATGATATTTATGTCACGCCGTGTAATAAAAGCATGCTGCGCTTAGCGCAGCATGCTTTAAACCCGACTTCTGCACAGTGTGACATAAAACATTAAGTGTCTAACTTAATCTTTCTGTTTTTTTTATCAAAAAAATATATACCATTATAAACTATATAAATACTAGATCAATCCTCGAAATATCGTCCATCGTTTTCGATGACCTTGCGCCATCGATCGGGCAACATACGAATGCCATCACGAAAAAAACTTGTAGGCTTTGAAGCGATGAAGTCATCGACGAATTGTCGTATATCGTTCGGAGTTTGGAAGCGTCTATGGAAAACAGATGGTAATCGGAAGGGGCCAAGTCCGGTGACTAAGCCGCGTGTGGGACAACCGCCCAGCCCAAGCTTACAATCGTTTTGCTTCCGAATGGAAGCTTTGAAAATGCAATTTTTTTCGAGTCTCTAATTTTGCTTGGAGTTGACTCAGAGTGGTCTGAAAAATCGAGATATGATGTTTTTAAACGATGTCTGTATGTTGTGACATATTTTTTGAGGTATCACGGATCCTCGGCCCACTACGCAGCCCTCTGACAACCAAACAACCCTGAAATGCTAAAAGTTGAGCGCCAGGTCGTTTTTACCAGAACGATCACTGGGTACCAAACGAATTAGTCCTAGGCTCCAACACTGTTCCCCTAGCTCAAAACGTAGAGATGCGTGTTTGGTTACTGGAAGAGTTTAGACTAAAGATGTGACTGGGTTACGTAAATTAAGATAGATTAACTGTCGGGGAATTCACAATATTTAATAAATTCTGAAAACTCAACACAAGACAAATCCATCCATTAAACCATCCCCTTTTCGATTTTCTATAGTTCAAATAAATAAACAGACTGGCTAGTTACAGAAGATCACATTCGTTAATAAGAATAAAAGATTCTGATATGAATAAAAAAATAAAAAAATAAATAAGTCCTAAAGTCACGATAAGTCCACAATGCGAAAAACAGACAAGTTGGAGTCAACAATCAGAATCTAAATAAAGTCAAAGATATTCATGTGAATGAAGACAACACAGAAGAACGATTGAAAATGAAATATTTCGGTGACGAGTAAAACTGGCGAGCAAACGACTTAATCGAGACAATAGCCAGTTAAACTATCCAAGGTTACGAGACCTCCAAAATTCCTAACATTCAATGTCCTTCAAAAATTCACCGACAGCAAGAGCGTTCGTTCCAGAATTTTCCCCCAAACGCAACACTAACATTCATCAGAATTTATTCCACAATATTCACAAATAACACAATAACTTAGAGAAAATAACTCCAACAACACGAGTCTGTTTGCAACCGAATTAAAATAAATTAATTTCGACAAGCAACGAGGCCCCTATAATATTGGATTATTTTAAACGGAAAATCTTTCAACAATGAGTGCGAATGTGAACAAACACGAACGAGAGTTTCAAATAATTGGAAATTTCACGATTCAAAGGGAAAATTATTTTTCGTGTCACGGAACCTGAAAAATCCCATTTTTGTGGCGTGCGCGCCACGAAATTGACGTTTTGCAGGTTCCTCGACACAAAAATGAATATACACACCTCGCCATGGAAAATATATCACCCTCCCCCACGTGCTTGCCATCCTCGCCTTCGGCTCGGCAGGCAATCTTGCATGTGGGGGACGGTGATCTGTTTTCCAAGGCTCGGGCATGTAATGTACTATATCGGGCGGACAAGATTTCATCTCAAAACTAAAATCATACAAATCCAATGCAAAGTCTCTCGCGAGACGTAACTCGAAAAAACTTTACATGCGCCCGAGACGCCAAAGATCAGAGATCCTGCCCTTATAAAATCAAAATTAATTAGCCACCACGCTCACCAGAGGCCAGACACGAAACGACTCAAAAACCCAAAGAACTCCCGGCTGCATGACAATGATCCAAACGTCCCAATAAATCCTGAAATCCCGATGAACTAGAGACCTCAAAAGGCGCGCAGAAGTCCATCGTGGCTTCCCAAATAGCGTCTTACGAAACTTGACAGATGTGCGAAACATCCGCACTTTGTTACCACCAGAACAGAAGTGATCGCCCGAATTAATACAGGTGCCGGCGCGACTATCAATTGCTCGCTAATAAATCCCATTGGCCCCCTCATTACGACCATTAAACATTCCATTATCATTGGTCCCAATTTTTCACGCGTGCGCGTTATCAAATACACGCCTGCGCACGACACGAATGCGCTAAACACATATCACATATTCCTATTGCATTCACGAATTACAGCAATAGTAAATTACAAAATATTAATCCGACATTTTTATCTACTCATAAATCACGATTTCTTCCTTCTGGTAATTCAAAGTTGATTAAAAGATGCCAAATCCTAATTCAACGGCATGGCACGACCCAGGTAATAGCGCTGTCTCTCTCTGACGTAGGCCCGCTTCTCAATCTCCAAGACGTCCTGTGGCCTCAGCGCCTCAGCTTCACGGTTAAATGACGAAGCTGTACGTGACCCAGCGTATACTCCAGATTCCATTGGTTTCGATGAGGCAATGATAACGCCAAAATCCCTGGATGTCCCTCGAACTCCACCGAAATCCTCCGACGAATGAGCGTGGTGTAATTAAATGAAGGAATACAATACAAAATGAGTCAACAAAACATAAAAACTCTCAAAATGACTCTCGTTGTTGTTAGGTGACTTCAGGTCTGGTGGCGACTGAATCAAAAACCCAAAATGAACCACATGACGGTCTTCAAAAACCTATGAAATGACTTCTAACAAAAATATCACGTTACGATGTATGTGGGACA